TTATTATTATTTTTAATATGTGATAAGACCATTAATATGTCTTGTCTAAACTTCTTGTTTCAGTAAAAAATGTATTAACACAAGAATGCCAACTTTCTTTAGGTCTGAGCTGCTTGTAGGAAGTGCACAAGCAGCTCAAGAATTATGTTGCATTTTTTCAGACATTGTTCACTGTAAATCAAATTCTAGTTCAGACGGAAAACCTTGAAATATGGTTTTACATTACCATTGTACTGTATATAAATTCGAGGCACAATTGTGGCACAAGTATTGTGCTCTTTGGGAAGTAATTTCTGTTTTTTTGTCACTGATCACAATCTTTACTATTTTTTAATTGCACTGACCTTGTACATGGTAGCTCTTTTGCTTCAAATAGAGTATTTCTGTCTCAGTCAAGTGGAAGAATCTGGAAAGCCAGATTTAGAGCATGGTTAAATGCTTCAGTGGATGCAAGGTGATATCTTTTGTAGATTTCCTCAAAGCAGAGCTGAGTCATACAGTTCATGTTTTTCTGCTAAATTTAAAATAATGTAAGGTTGCATCACTGTAGGAGGATGCATGGTGGGAATAGTCGTGTTCAGCTGTTGTCTAGGCATATCTCTGAACATGACTCAGATTATCAGGCACAATATTAGGCCTTATATGCAAAGGTTCTAGAAATTTCTCCTGTTTGTTTGGTCTTGTGATGGCTGAGTTTAAACAGTAAAAAATTAAGGTGTATGTGTAGTGACGTCATTCTTAGCCAGGACTTGCTCTGCAGATCAAAGTGGGAGGAAGGTGGATGTTCTGGTCCAGCAATATGGTGGTAAAATATTGTACACTCAGCAAAGAAACAATAAGTACTGCCAGAACATGTTGCCAATTGGGATCCTGGAGGATTTCCCACAGATCAGTGCTTCTCAGCTGGTGCGTTGCAACCCCAAAATGCTTTTAAGATAACAGGATTGTATTAGGTTTCATGGTGGCCACGTCACATGGAAATACTAACTGATTTTGAGTGAATTGCCTGTGACCTTTGATCCTGGAGGTCAGTTAGAGATGTGTGTCTCATGTTTGCTAATGTTTCCTTGTTTAACTACTATTCAAAAGGGGAATTTGGGGCATTAATAAAAAAAAAAATGTATTGAAAAATTATATTTTTCAGCAAGGACGCGCATTAAGTTGATCAAAAGTGAAAGTAAAGGCACTTATAATGTCACAGAAGATTTCTATTTAAAATAAATGCAGTTCTTTTAAACTTTACATTCTTTAAATAATCCTGAAAACAAAATGTATCACAGCTTCCACAAAAAAAAAAAACAGTAAAATCTAACTTATCCAAAGAATCATGTGATACTGTAGACTGGATTAATTAATGGCTGCTGAAAATTCAGCCTTTGGAATAAATTACATTTTAAAATGTATTCAAATAGAAAACAATTATTTTAAATTGTAATAATATTTTACTATATTTTTGATCAGATAAATGCAGCTTTGGTGAGCATATGAGACTTCTTTTTAATAAATGAGCTTAAACTGTTATATGCTCTGATTAATCTGATTTATAGTGTGATTTAGCTGTATGTGGAAACACTTACAGCTCTTAACTACAATAATATTACATACAATAATGTTATGTCAGGTAGTTGCAACTGAGCTGATGTTAACTTATGAAAGATTCCAGTATAGCAATGCCCTGTTTTAAAAGATGTTGTTTGCCAAAATAGCCTGAAACACTAGCAGGAAATGGTACTGTGAAGTTCTACCATCACATCTCATTTGAACTGAAATGCTACTCTACTATTGCACTGTATCTGATGGCACAGTAATCGGACTCTCCTCCGGTGCTGTATGGGTCTGGGGTATTGGGTGCTGGAGCCGGTCATGTGTCCGACACAAGAGCTGCCGCTGGTTAGTCTGGTTGCAGTGACCTTTGTGTGGCAGGCCGGGTTCAAGGTTAAAAGGATCAGTTTAGCTTTAATTCACAGGATCTATGAAGTTAAATGAGCTGAAATCCCCATTAACTGAAAAAATTTGTACACGGATATCAAAGTTAAAGACCCCATTAAACTGCTTAAAGAGCACAGTGTTCTTTCCTGTGCTGACTTATTTGTTAATGGAAAGAGGAAATTTGGTTGTCAATATTTTTTCCAGGAAGACAATGATGGCACATTTAAATATGTGTATCTGCTCTCATTTTTTTACTAGTATCAACAGATGACTTAAAGTTGGCATGAAATGAAAATTCACCATATCTCTTTTCTAAATGCATGTTATTGATCTTATTGTGAATTATTCATCCAAGCATACGTTTAATTTCTACATTTTTTGACCTCATAAGTAATTAAAATGTCACAACTCGATCTTCCGGCGAAACGACAGACTTCTCTCTCTCCAGCTTACATTTTTTTATTTCCAATAATCCGTTTTACCTGAATGGACGTGACAATATGAAAGAAAAGATTGGTTGCTATTTCTGTTCCATCATGACTTTAAAAGCTAAAACACGGAAAAAGTCACAAAACCACAAAACATCAGTTTTGATTTCATAGGGTCTTTTAAAATAAGTTTCTTGGTTGCATTCCCTTGTTCGTAAAGACATTCATCTAAAGGAGGGGTGGACTCGCCTTCAGCCTAAATAATGAACCCCTGCTTCCCTCTAAACCGTGTCAGTTATTCACTCTGCACATTTCAACCTGAAATTCTGGTTAGGCCTGTCGCAATAATCAATATATTGACCTATCGCGCAATATATGTACATGACCTCAATAATTTTTGGTGACGCAATATATCGCACATTATATTTACTTAAAATTATTTCTGGGGCAATATATCGCACAACAAAAAGTTGTTATCGTGACAGGCCTAATTCTGGTCTGTTCTTGCATCCTGGGAACAGGAGCTCTAGATCAAACATAGGCCCAAGAGGCATCCTAATCTTGACAATTTGGTGTCTTATTTTAGCTCTTCTTGTGAAAGTGTGTCAGGTTTGATAGGAAAAATACAGGGTCTTGACAGGGTGTCATCCTCTGAAATCTTTTTTTAAATTTCAGAAGGATTAAAAACAAATCTTGACAATGAATTATCTAAGAAACAAGTTAAGGGTGTGTTAATGTTTCTAATAACCACTAGTTCAGTCAGTTTTACCTTTTTTCTTTTTTTTTTGCTTTAGCTAGCATAAGTGTGCTGTGATTTAGCTGTTACACAGTTTGCACCCACTCTGAGAAGATTTCATTGGACACAGTTTTTTTTCTTTTTGTCAAAAAGGCAGCCACCCATTTGTTGATATTGAATATATATGTAGTTTTGCACCTCCTCATACTGGGTTGTCAAATAGCGGCGGTGGTCCTTCCTGAGGCCGTTTGAAGGAGCCTGTCAAACAGAGCCGTAACTAATTCTGGCATCTCTGTCAAAACTGCTCTTCCAAGCTCCGCTGAGCAGTCAGAGACACTCAGTGGGGCGAGTGAAAGAAGAGAAGAGTGAAAGGGAAGACGAAAGGAGTGAGGGAGGAAGTAGAGAGCCTGAGATGTTGCACGTGTCTCTTTTTCAGCCTTAGGAGTGCAGCATCTACAGTTTCACCTATCCTTCGTATGTGTTTTGCCCTTTCTCATCCCATTTGCATTATCGTTACCTAGTTCATTGCAAGGGCAGACTGTGTGGCATGCAATTCCACATCAGCTGTTGTTTAAAGACAAAAGGAAATCAAAACTGACCCATGTACTTCCTTAAAAAAAGTCCTTCTTGTTTGTGAACATTATTTTAAACTTTATTTATGTTATTTTCAGTTTCCGGTGCCGTTAGAAATGCTCACGCCTTGATTCATTTATTCCAAGAATCAAAGTATTCAGTAAGAGGGGAATTACCACCGTAAAGCCAGTTTCCTCTGTAAATACGTCACATTACCGAAGTTAAATGCATTATGAATGCCATTTCATTTTGTCTAATGGGGGAAGCTAACAGATAACTTCCTGTATTATGTTACCAGATGACGCTGTTTTTTGCTGTGTTAAAAGCAGGAAGCGTTAAATTCCTCTTTCTACTCCAGGCGGTTACCAGACGTCGGTTTCTCAATGTCACCTCAATATCTCTCAGAGAGTCCGGTCCGTCAGACCTGTCATAATCTATTACATGTAGCTGTAGCTGTAGTTTTTGAAAGTGCTCCACTTTTCTCTACTTCTACTGCTTTTTTAACATATTCATTCTGCAGTTTAACTGTTGATTTAAAGGCTGTCCAGGTCTCATGTCTAGTCCTTTTTTTATAAATCTGTTCTGAAAATCTGACGTTTTCTGAAACAAAGACAGTTTTGTTCTTTTATTTTTTGAGTTTGTTGGGGTGCGTTGGGGCATGTCTGGTTCACAATACATCATTAAGAAAAGCTATCTCTATGGGCAAACGTGTCGCCCTCAACTTGTGGTGGCTTTGAATTCAAATGGAAAATGTATATATGTTTAGACATAGGTCTGATGTCCAAATATTGGATATGTATCTGATTCATTGTAAAACTACAATTGGAAGTGGCTCAGAACGGATGTAAAAAAATCAGATCTTTGTGTTGACGTGTGGAACAATATAGTGTTTCTACGTAATTATTTGTTAGTATTTTAACTACTTATCTGTTTGCATTATGCAGTATAATGTAAAAAGTATATATGCTTTACTTTGAGTACTTTTAAGTATATATGCTATACTTTGACCGCTAATTGATCATGGTCACTGATAGAGCTAGTATTTGGCAGTCAGTGCTCTACAGCCATACCAGGATATTTTGGTCATTGATCTAAAAGCATATCCTATGCCAACGTCTGCCACTTAGGGAGCTGTTGTCTGGTACCCCGCAGACATGAGGCAAGCCTTTGGTGTCGGACAGAGAAGGAAGAGACAAAGTTTTCCTGAGACTTTTTCAAACTGACTTCTTAAGAATCGAGTGGAAGTGATCTAACTGGCTTTCAAGATCACAGTTTGAGGTTGGAGGAGGGGATATGCTGGTTTGATTTGGGCTAAGAAGATACGTTTGAATCTAAAGCCCATGAGATCCGTCAAAAACAAGTCAGCCTGCAGAACCTGAATTTCTTTCTACTTTGGAATACAAAAGAAGATATATTGAAAAATGTCTCAGTATTTTTTGTTCAGGTTGTTTCTTGCATACTTCAGTGTTCTTGTGTAGTTTATTTAATCCTAAAGTAGGCTTATTGTTTGGTACAGCAGGATCTTAGTGCCTGCTCTGGTAATGCACAGAATTATACATCTGTTCTTTGCCAAATACGCTGACCTGAAAATGAGCCAATCATTTATTCATGTAGAATCAGACGTGCATTTAGGGTCTCACTTTTCCTGCATGGTTAATGCCAGGTATATACAATTACACTAAAATGGCTAAATAAGAGTCAAACGACTGCTTAGTTTTATTTTTTGAGCATTGCTGATGTCATAGTAGATTTCAGATTGACCAAAGAAATGTGATGAGGAGGAATTCTCTCTTATAAATTCTTAATTAATAACTAATGGGTAATTAATAGGTTAATGGGTAACAGAGTTTGATGTCTTCATAAATATTGTGCTGCTGACTGCTGCCAATCTGCGACTTCTGAATAAACTCACTAGTGGTTTTTCAAATTTTAAAATCTTATCTCTATTTTAAGATGTATGCACTTTACTTGGTGATTTCAGAGTGTGAAGTGTTGTGGTGTATGAGTGTTTGGCTGTGTAGGAGTAGTGTGTTGGAGGTTATCATTTTTAGAGAGTTGCATCCTGTCAAATGGAGAGACAGACACACACACACACACACACACACACACACACACAAATGGAAGTAAATTACTAAGGTGGTGCACTAGAACAGAACCAAAACTGTCAAATTACAGAGCAATCAGCAGTGAAAAATGAATCAGTGCAGTGATTCATGATACATATTATGCTCTAAAGCATGACGGTAAACTGAGTAAAGGTTCCCATCTCTCCACGTACAGTACCTTTCAGAAGTTTGGGGTTGGTAAGATTTTTTCCTTTTTCTGAAAGAATTGTGTTATGCTCACAAAGTCTGCATTCAATTGATTAAAAAACAGTAATATTGTGAAATATTTTAACAATTTGAAAGATTTTTTATATATATTTTGAAATGTAATTTGTTCATGATCTGGAAAAGTTGTCATTACTCCAGTCTTCACAGTGTCACATGATTCTTCAGAAATCATATAATATACTAAAAATATACAAATTTGGTGTTCAACATTTCTTATTATTATCAGTGTTAAAAATGGTTGTGCTGCTTAATATTTTAAAGATTCTTTGATATGAATAGAAAATGTCAAAAATCTTAATAAAATCTTACTGACCCGAAATTTTGAACGGTAGTGTACAAGCACATTTGTACGCTACAGTATATTACATGAGATGCTGGTTAGCCTCTCACTGTCTGTATAATGCATGAGGCAGACAAGTGCATGTGTGCAATCTATTTGAGTCAGTATCCAAGAGAATTATATGCATTGCATATACATGTTGTGACACTTAATTTAATATATGAACAAGCTTTCTGTTATCCAATCTGTTAAATACATTTCCGTTTATATTTTTGGCCAAGATTTTCAGCCTATTTTCTCTCATTCCTTCCTGTCTTTTGCTCAATGCACTACTCAGAAACACTCTGTCCCAGTGCAGTCTGGACTCCTGATGCCCAGACAGCCGTAATAATGCCCATATGGCATTGGATCAGCATGACTTAACATATTAGTGTTACCCTGAAGGTGTTGAAGCTCTGGTTCGGATGTTCCGTGCAGACATTCACCTGCAAAAATGGCGTGTACAAGCACAGAACTGCATCTTATAACCTAACCAGCCACATAGACAAATAAATGGCTAGTTCCCAATGGATATTATTGCGTATATAATCAATAACATCCAGAAAGTTTATACACACTCACACACACACACACACACACACACACACACACACACACAAACAGCAGTATTTGTGTAAGCACTGTACAGTAATGAGTCTCGGTGCAATCTGTGTGTGCTGTATTTAGCTCTGCTGTTGCACAATAGTCTTGCTCTCCCTCTTTATCACAGTCACCTTGCACTCTCACACACAAGCAAAAACTCTCACACGCACCACATGGACACACACACTCAGATCAAACCTTCTGTGACTCACTGTCAAGTGACCACACCGTCTTATCTCTGGAGGGAACACAAGATCAGCCACCTGCTGCACCTGGAATAAGTATTCTGCAAGTTCTAGTGGAATAAGTATAATGCAGTTAGAGCTGTGGCTTATTGGTTATTTGCATGCTGACATTGATATGTGGCTTTGAGTTCTCCATCATCTTATTCCATCATTTCCCATCATCCTTTCCATAAACGCAGAAAACAATTGATTGAATTGATTCTTTTATTCAGTTTGTTCCAATTTGTTTACATTGTAAATTAAAATTCTAACCTGTCTTTGTTCTTCATACTAGTTAGTTGAATACAGTATTAGTTGATCAAAATGAGCATGTGTGTTCTGAAGGAGGCAGGGGAAAGGTCGTAGGGATGTTAGATGCCATGGTGGAATTGATCCAGGGTCAGTCGGATCAAACCGGATGCTCAGCTTTGGCTCGCGCTTCCTGGATTATTGCTTTTACTCTTCTTTTACCCTGTCTGGGACATTCTCTCTTCTTCATGTCCTGTCTTTGCTGACTCTCTCTCAGTTGTGCATTATTAATAGTTTTAGGAATATTCTCGAGGTTTCATATGACTGCATCTTTACTGGGTACATTTTCTGTGAAGAAACCAAAACAGTGCTGTTCAAAAAATCTGGGGTCTTTAATTATTATTATTTTTTGAAAGAAGTCTCTTATGCTCAACAAGGATGCATTTATTTGATTAAAATACAGTAAAAACGGTAATATTATAAAATATTATTACAATCAACTGTTGTCTGTTTTAGTATATTTTGAAATGTTTTATTCCTGTGCTGCAAAGCTGAATTGTCAGCATCCATTACTCTAGTCTTCATGATCCTTCAGAAATCATTATAATATGCTAATTTGTGCTGCTTAATATTTTTGTGGAAACCATAATACAGTTTTACATATATATATATATATATATATATAATGTGTATGAGAGAGCTTGCATGTGTGTGTGTGTTAGTATTTGAGAGTTTAAGTAATCCCCTGGTCATGAGTTAGGTAGGAAAATTCCTTACACAATTTAAGGAAATGAAACAAGCTCAATAAAGCAGCTTTTCACCACAAACCTCCTAGAATCGGAAAGTCACACTTTAATTTGTATATTAGGCATACACAAACACATACAGTAGAGCTCAGGGCAGTAAGTCAGACAGGGTGAGTTTGTTCCTCTAAGTGATCTCTTGCTCTCTCTGTAATTTTAATCATGACACTTTATACTCCCCGGCACAATTTAGAGGTCACTGCTGGCCACAAAGATGCTTACTGTCTGACCTCTGAATGTGAGGGATACCGAGAGAGGACAGGCCATGTTATGAGGATCGTTAACACTTCAGTTCAAAAGAGAAGAGTGTGTCTGAAAACATTCCCAAACGAACACTTTTGTTCACATCTTGTACTTACACAACAATTCTTTCATGTGATTTTTTTTTTATTTATTTTTTATTTAAAAACATCATTTAATATTGCCACAATGTATGCTTCAACTGTCCGAAGTGTTTACTTCATTTACTATACGTGTGTTAAAGGAAACAGATTTTTGTGTAATCAGTTCTCCTTTCTCTGTCTGCAGGGGTGGTCTAATGTGGAGGCTGAGGAAGATACTGATCTGGGTGCTGGGAATCTACATCACCATCCCTGTTATCATCAAAGTCTGTCCATCAATACAAGCAAAATTAGTATTTTTAAACTTTGGTGAGTATTTTCAGGGAATGTTTTGGCCAAACTGTGTTTAAACATTGATATTTAGGCCAGAGGTTGGCATTCAGACATCAGAGTTTTTAAAGTTTATTTGAGTTTTTTTAGACATACTTTTGTAATCTTTGGCTCGTGTCTTGGTCAGGCTTTGTCAACTTTGGAAACTATGTCAGTTTTTTAGCACTTTGAGCATTTAGTCTAGTCTTTGTGAACATTTGTGAGTTCTTTGTAAATATTTGTAAGTATTTAGGCCTATCTTTGTAAACTTTTTTTTAATTTACATTTTTAGAGAGTATCTTTTTAAACTTCGAGTATCTAGCCTGACCTGTTTTACCCTTTATATTTAGACCATTCATTTTCCATTTGCATTTTGTTTATTCAAGCTAAACTGCCATGCAAGTTGTCGTTATTTTGGATGCTACATTAGTTTCTGTTGATTTTTAAATTGAATATGATAATATGGGTCAGTTTCCATAATTTTATGCTGTTGCATATGTAGTGAAAGGACAAGCTTAGGGCATTTTGCCTCAAGGGGAATGTAGTATAGTATCCAAGGAGATTGTTACGCTGCATTTTCCCCTGTGAAATATTCAGCATGCTCAGAACAACTCTTAAGAAACATTCAGTCATGCATGCTTTTGTAGTCACTTTTAATCAATATAAAGACCCACAATCTCTACTTTGTTTTTAATTACTGATGCCTCAGCGCCTGTTTTGCAACATAATGTCCTTTGTTTAAAGTGATGTCCATCACAGAACAGAATCTGCTGGATCTCATGCCATTTAATAAGACATTTTGAAACGTTGGGAGTTTGAATCCATAGTCAGCCTTTCGCTGAAACGACCAAACAAAGATATCATTCATCCATCAATCCAGATAAATGCCCACTCTGTTTGCCGCTGTCTCACTCCAACAGCCTCTCACACACGTCTCTCAGTCTTATCAAATAATTCCTATGTCACATCATAGTTTCATTTCTCTGATATTAGTCACGTTCTGTTGTGTTTTGGGCTGATGTTAGCATTAGCATTTTCAGCAGTGGCACACTGCTTCTGTCAGCTGATGTGTTTCTTCACACTATGTTCTGCTACTGTTTGCAGTCTGAGCTAATAATGCACAGCATGGGTGTAAAAGTGTGACTGTAAGCATCCCTGTGACTGCTTTACTCAGAGAAAAATCTGTGACTAAGGTCGGTGAACTTAGTCAAGTCATCAGTCTTCTGAGAAAGCTTGTGGCACACTTTCAGTTCTTAAGTGGCAAACTTGAGTTTCTTGCTGCAAAAACAGCCATAATTCAAATTTTCATGATTATTTTCCATTCTCAGACCAAACATGGCAGTTTGAGGAATTGCAAAAACTTTTGTATGAAATTATTTACCAGCATAACTTTATTTGTAAATGTTCAATAACACTTTATTATTCTGTCAAAATGTATCTGTATTGAAGAGACTAAATAAATCTCACCCATCTAAAAACTCATCAGGAGTTGACTGAACTGTACTTTAAAGAACAGCTTTACACTTTTTAGCATACACAGAACATGTTCTTTGTGTGAAAAATCTAATTTATAATTACAGTAGAATTGAACAATCTTTTTTGCTTTTATTTGACCAAAAATAAAGTTAAAAGTGATATTGTGAAATATTATAAAATGTAATTTATTCCTGTGATGCAAAGCTGGATTCATTACTCCAGTCTTCAGTGTCACATGATCCTTCAGAAATCATTCTAATGTGCTGATTTGGTGCTCAAGAAACATTTCTTATTATCAATGATAATAAAATTTGTCGAAAACAGTTGTGCTGCTTAATATTTTTGTGGAAACCATGATACATTTTTTTTCGAGATTCTTTAAATAGAAAGTTGAAAAGAACAACATTTCTTTTAAATAGAAGTCTTTTGTAACATTATTTTTTTACTGTCACTTTTGATCAAGTTAATGCTGAATAAAAGTATTAATTAAAGGACTTATTTCCTTTCCGGACGATAATTCCATTCTGATATCTGACGCCCACTTTTCAAGATCCCATCAATTCCCGATGGAAAAAATCAATATTCTGTTTGACTCAGAAATACATCGGATTCAGTTTCATGTTGACTATTTTCTGTCTCTCTCTTTCAGTGCGAGTGCCATATTTTATAGATCTGAAGCGACCACAGGATCAGGGCTTGAATCACACTCGCAATTTCTACCTGCAGCCCGAGGAGGGAATCAACATTGGAGTGTGGTGAGAGAGCACAGACACAGACTACAGCTAAAATACAGACACAGCTTGGCCTACCTCCACCATCCATCTCTCTGCCTATGCCTTTCTGTCTCTCTGTCCTCACGTTCTCTACCCTACAGCTTTCTGTCCCTCTCTATCTGCCTTATGGCCATGGCTGCCTTTCTGAAGGGCGTGGAAAAAGTCCTGCACTTGTTGAAATGCAGCCTGTGGCCCAAAATTTTAAATCCGTAGTGACAGAGGACTGCACGGGCCTGTGGCTGCTGGCCATTGAGTGTGACTGTGTGTGTGTTTGACTTTTATTAAGTAACAGTGGGAAGGGCCATATAAGCTTCCTGCAGCTGATGCTGTAATTTTCTCTGCATAAATAAGCTTGTCTGTGCGCTGGTCAGATTCAGTATTGAATAGGAGAATCGTTGATAATAAAGTCTTGGGGAAGTGAACAGGATATTTTAAGCCGTTAAAGACTACACTACCATTCAAAAGTTTGGGAACAGTAATATTTTTTTTATATATATATAATAAATAAATAATAATAATAATACTTTTTAATTCAGCAAGGTTGCATTAAACTTATCAAAAGTGACTGTAAAGCCATTTATAATGTTACAAAAAATGTCTATTTCAAATAATTGCTGTTCTTTTAAACTCTCAGAAGAATCCTGTAAAAAAAATGTATGACAATTTCCACAAAAATATTAAGCAGCACAACTGTTTTCAACATTGCTGCTCAAGAAACTTTTCTTATTATTATCAAACCAGCACATTAGAATAATTTCTGACCGATCATGTGATGCTGAAGTCTGGAGTAATGAAAATTCTGCTTTGCTATCACAGGAATAAATTACCTTAAATATATTAGAATACAAAACGGTTAATTGATATTGCAGTAATATTTCACAATATTACTGTTTTTACTGTATTTTGAACAAATAAATGCCTCATAAACATGAGGCTTTTTTTCAAAAACATTTAAAAGTTTTACCAACCTCAAACTTTTGAACGCTACCACATGTCATGAACTTACTGTACTCTTTTTCACCATTTCATGCGTAGGAAACAGAAATCTAACAGCTGCATATCTCTTTTGTATGTCCTGTCATCTCTCTTTCCATCTGTCTCTCTCAGGCACACAGTGCCTTCAGTGATGTGGAGGGAGGCTCAGGCAAAAGATGCTGAATGGTATGACAAAAGCTTCCAGTCCAGTCATCCTGTCATCCTGTATCTCCATGGAAACGCTGGAACAAGGTACACAAGCACTCAGGGACCACTTTATAAAACCAACTCGGTGTCAAAAACGACTCGGTGTGAGTTAAAGGGGTCATATGATGCGATTTCAATTTTTCCTTTCTCTTTGGAGTGTTACAAGCTCTTGGTGCATAAAGAAGATC